GCTGGCCGCCCTTCCTGGACGTGCGATGCGCTCGCTCTTATACGCAGCCACGGCGGGGCCAGCCTTTCTCACCCAGGCCCGAAGTGTGCCCACCTGGAGGCCCCAGCAGGCCCTGCGCGCGCTGCCCTTTGAAGACCCCAGCACCACCCCTCTTGCTGGGGTGAGAACGCCTCCCCTCGCAGCCTGCGCCGTTCGCCACAGTTTGCCGAGACCCCAGGTAATTACATCGCGAACTTGCAGCCGCCCGTGGATCGCGTTTCTATGGTGATGTGCGTGTGGGTAAGTTTGCTGTCCAAGTGAGCTACGAGGTGTCCATCAGTGTCCATCGGGCCTGGCAGTGGAGGTGCAAAGCCCTCCCGCCCCCCGCCCGTCTCAGAACTGCACCTGCGTTTGAACCACCGCACGTGACCACTAGTTTGCTCAGAGTTTGGGTCTTTTTCTTTTGGTGAGCAAGGGTTTGAGGATGTTTAGTTTGTTTCTTTTTTTTCTTGTTGATTTTCTTTTTCTAGAAGGAATGCTTAACCAGCATAGGAAAATGTAAAATTTTACAGTACTGAGAATAAAAGAGGAAGTCCCGTGATTTAGATGGTAACATTTTGCTGAACGTTCTTGCGGATACTTATATTGCGTACGTGCGTAGAGAAATAGCTGCGTGTACCGTTTTTCACAAGTCAATAGAATATCACAGGCGTCTTATGTGCCTGCGAATATAGGTGTTTATCTTCCTGGTTGATGGCTACGTGGTGCCCTTTCTGTGGGTCAGGAATTTTTATGTGAGGAAGAGCTGGAATCACCCGAGGTTCCAGAACATGCCCTCCTCAGTGTCACCTCACGAAGGCAGAAGATGGGGAGGAAACAGGCAGGCCGGGCCAGGTTCGGCTGCTGGGAATGTCTAACTGGTCATGTCAGGGAGCCTGAGGGATGGGGTCCTCCGGGCCCGTGACTGCAGGTGAGAGCTTGGAATTGCAAAGGTCTCACAAGAAGAGCATGCGTGTGGGGGAGGGGCTCTGCTTTAGTTATGCACTCATCCATCATTCAGCGAACACTTGTTACTTTTCTAGGACAGGGACTATGGAAATGAGCGTGATGGACTCACTCCTTGTCCTCATGGGACATATATTCTAAATGGAGGAGACAGACAATAAACAAAACAACAAATGAAAAATTCAAATAGCGACTGGGGCCAAGAATAGGGGGACTGAGTGCCTTGGAGTTGGCGGGAGGGTCAGTATTAAGATGAGCAGGAAAGACCTGGAAATATGAAGTTTGAGCAATGAAAGAAAAGGACGCAGTCACATGTGACTGGAGGTTCCGGGGCGGTGGAGACAAAGGTCCTGAGGCAGGTGCGTAAGGGAGGAAGGCGTGTGGTGGGTGTTGGTGATGGGGAGGGAGGTGGCAGGTTGGCATTGGAAGGAGGAGGGGCAGGTGAGGAGGGGTCTGTGGGTCACACAGTTTGGATTCTACTCTGAGTTCAGTGGGAATCTTTTGAGCAGGAGACGGGTTTTATTGATTGGTTATCTAAAGAATCCTCCCATCTGCTCTGTGGATGGATGATAGACTCAAAGGGGTACAGCCCAGAGGCAGGAGTAGACGGAACCTCTGGCCTGGCGGCTCCCCTGGGTGCCCCAATAACCCTTCTGTGCCAGCATGGTCTGGTGGCCCTGTAGCCTGACGTGGAGGCCCTGTAGGTTCACGGCGTGGAATTCCTCATCACTACTCGCTCACTGGGCTCTGCGACCTTAGGGTTCCTGGGGAGGACACAGCACCAAACTGTGACCCAGGGGGGACCCATTCCTGTGACCTTGAAGAGCTGTGCTCACAAGGAGCTGGGACACTTGCCGAGGTACCTGCACAGCCCCACTCAGGTCCTGCCAGCTCGGAGACTTCCAAGGCCAGCCGTGTACCAGGTGGGGACTGGGTGTCCAGGTGTGACCAAGCAGGAGGCGTGAGTGTGGGTGAGGTGGGGGCCCTTTGAGTTCCCAAGGACTGCTCACCCCCAGCTGCGTCCACGGCTCCCGGCCCTTCTTACTGTACCTGTCTCCTATAGACTTGATCTCTCACCACCCTGAACTATAACCACTCAGTGGGAAGGCTTCGTGGTCACTCCTCTGGAAGGGGACAAGCAGGTTCACGGCGTGGAATTTCTCATCACTACCCTCGTTCCTACTTCGCTCTCTCTCTATTCAGAAGCAAACCCCAGGCATCACATGTAATTTTATGCGTAAATATTCAGTATGGAGATCTGTATAAGACAGGCTATTTGAAAAAAAAATAAAAAAGGAAAGCATACTGCCATTATCCTGCCTTCAAACTCAGCGATGGCCCTGAGCAGCGTTCACGGGCCTCATTCTTTATTAAATTTTAAATTAGCTCTGGCTGGAAGGCACATCCTGAAAACTTTCTGTACAACGGAAACTAAAAAGATGAAGGGCAGAAAGAAATCACTAGAAGTGGCACGCAGGCGCTGCGTTCTCACGTGACTACGCACACGACATTTGTAGAGAGTCGGAGGGAAACCGGCCCCACCGGCTGCCAGTCCCCACACCTGTGCCCGGCCCAGTCCCTGGTCTCCGTGAGATGCCTCGTGTAGCTCCTTAACTCCCTTGTCTAACAGGACTGGCCTGGCAGGCTCTCTGCACCTGGGACCGGAGGGACCTGTCTCGGACCGGTAGCCTCCTCCGGTTTCTTCTCCCTGTGCCACGTGACAGACGTGTGTCTATTTTTCAATTACACGTGTCAGGTATACGTTTTATGTATATGCGGTTTTATAAAACTATGTGGTTATATATGTGTCGATTATATTTGTCAGCGTATCAGTTTACTTAACCGTAGTAATATGTCGATGAACATATATGTGACCGAACATGTATATCACATCAACGAACATATATGTCACAACATATATTGTGATAAGTGGCTGCAGAGTGTCCCTCTGTGGCTAAAACAAAGCGTGTCTTGAGCGTAAGGGCATTTACTCCTCACTTGACCGGGTTTTCCTTCTGTGTTTTTTATTAAAATCTCAAACTACGTTTTGATTAGAAGACAAACCCTAAATGTTTTCTGTGGAGCAAACAAAAACCTGCGAAGATACAAGACTGAGAACAAAATTATTCAAAATATGATCCGGATGTTCCGTATGACCTGGGAGGCTAGAATTCTGAACGTGGAACAGAACTGAGAACTCCGTGAGAGAGCTGGTGTCCTGAGGGCTGATGTCACACAGCCCGTGCGTGTCCTGACGGGTAGAAAGGACTCAGATGGTGCCTGTCGATTCCGTGAGCTCTGGCTGAAGACAGTGCTCCTGAAAGTCAGGTCTTAAGACTTGCATGACAGCTGTCCCTAACGATGAAAATTACATCCTTCTTAGGGATCAAAGGTGTAAGAAATTTACTACTGAAGGGCTTTGTTCACTAAAATTCATTTTTTTCTCTTTTGTGCTGTCTGGTGCAGCTGGCCTCACGCGGCTCAGGGCGACTGGACTCGGGGAAGTGTGCCTGCGATTTGGGGCGCTTGCTTGTCTCTCGGAGCGTTCTTCTCCCCGGTTATCGCTCAGCCTTTGAGTGGACGAGCTCCTCGAGGCTCAGTGTCGATTAACCAGAGTGCTTATTCCAGATAAATTGGATTTTGAGGAAATCAGTTGGATTTAGGAGGAAAAGTGGCAGAGGAAGTTGTGTGACCTGCAGAATGAGGGACAGGAGCTCCTGGAGAAACAGGTTCCTGATCTGTGCAGGACACTCCGCATATCTCAGCCTGGGGAAGGGTTTGGCTGGAAGCTTCTAGAATCTCCTTAAATGCCCAGGTGGCAGGACCCAGTTGTCAGTGGGAGAACTGAAAACTTTTTCCCCCAAATACCTATTATTTACAAGACGGGTCTGCATATTCTCAGACTGACATAACTTTCTGGAAAAACATTTCCTTAGTTGTTCCCATGGGAGGCGGGAGGCGTTCCGGCTGATGCACACGAGGGCTCAGTTCTGACTCTGAGAGCGAGTCTGTTTCAGGGGGCCAGGTGTTGGCCGTAAGACGACGCGGCGGAGTGCGGGCCTGTGCGTTCCGTGCAGCCACACCCCGCCGCCGATGGCAGGACGAGGATGCTCTCCCGCCTCTCTCCTGACGTCCTCCTCTCTGGACTGGGCACTTCGGTCCCTTTCCATCCACGAAGGAACCCTTTACGCAGCTGGGCCAGCTGAGGCTCCTCGGCCTCCCTGGGGGGAGTCGGCCATGAGGCCCTGTGGTTTCGGGGTGGTTCTTCCTCCGCCGAAGGGGGCATAGCGGGCCGCGGGGAAGGGAGGCGCGTCCGCTGCTCGCCCGCACTCTGCCCAGGCGCGTGCTTCATTTCCAGATCGAGAAGATCGACGTCGAGGTGATGATCGCCGTCGGCGGCGCCTTGCTGATTGCTGCCTTTGTGCTCATGTGCTGTTTCCTCTGTGTTTACTGCAAACTGGCCAAAGTACTGAGGTGAGTGACCGCGGTCAGAGTGAGGACACCCCTCAAATGGGAGCAGGGTCTCTCCTTGCCCTGGGGCCGCGCGCTGGGCGAGGTCAGGAAGGTGGGGGGTGGGCAGGTTTGAAAAGGCAAAGGCAGGTGAGCCTAGAATCTTGGCTTCCTCCCCTTCTGGCTTGGGGTCGTGAGCTCAAAAGTGAGTGTTCTCAGCCAGGTGGCTGTGTGTCGGCGCTGCGGTGCTGTCACTGACCTCGGGGCTTTGCCCTCAGACTGGCTGGGCCCCTCAGTCCCCGGCGCTGCGGACCGAAGACTGTGGGGAGACTGCACCAGCGAGTCTCCGCCCTGCGGTCCCTCAGGCCGGGCTGACTCCATCTCTTGCCTGAGCTGGGGGGGCGCTCAGGGTGTGCTCGGGTTCACTGCCCATGGCCTTAGGGACAGTGAGGTGGCCTGTCGGACTTTGGGGAGCCAGAGCTGTGTGAAACTCCTGGGAGGCACCTGAAAATGGGGTAGAGGTCAGGATAAACGTGGAGTTCTTTTCAAAATGTTTTACCTTTTACCTGGAGCAGAGAAGCAATTTTCCATGAGGTAGAATTAATGTTGTGAATCTGGGGAAGTTAAAGAGAGTAGTGGGGGGCGGGTCCCAACCTCAGGGCGGCAGCCTGAGGTACCTCCCATCAACCCGCACCTCGCCACCTGCGTCCCCATCAACCCACACCTCGCCACCTGCAGTCCCCATCAACCTGCACCTCGCCATCTGCAGTCCAGTCCCCATCAACCCACACCTCGCCACCTGCGTCCCCATCAACCTGCACCTCGCCACCTGCAGTCCAGTCCCCATCAACCCGCACGTCGCCATCTGCAGTCCAGTCCCCATCAACCCACA